CTTGCGGAGTGCCGGGGCCATCTTGTTGGTCAGCGTGCCAGCCACGATCATGACGTCGGACTGGCGCGGGCTGGCGCGGAAGACCACGCCGAAGCGGTCCATGTCGTAACGAGGCGCGGCCATATGCATCATCTCCACAGCGCAGCAGGCCAGGCCGAAGGTCATGGGCCACAGGGAGCTCTGCGGGGCGCGCGCATCAGGCCGGCCGGCCGCCAGGGCCTCTGGGGCCGCGGGCCTGCAGCTCCGGCCCGGCCAGGAGGAGGAAGGTGGGTCGTGAGGTTAGGGCGGCCAGACCCCACATGACTGGCTGCACAGTTCGAGCCCCAGACCCGGCTTGAAGGCCACACCAGGTGCATGTGCCCAAAATCCCGACAGGAGAAGGGAAGGTGAACTCCACCCCCGCCCAAAATCCCGACAGGAGAAGGGAAGGTGGACTGCACCACCAGCCCCTCTGGTGAGCACATGCACCCACGACAAAGGCAGAGAAAGAAGGTGGCTTGTGTGCAGAGAAGAGCCGGATGCCAGAGAGCCCTGGGGCAGGGCCGAGAGGAGCGGCCATCCCCACCCAGGGCTGAGCAGGCGTGGGGGGCGGGCAGAGCTCTGCCAGGGGCAGAGCTCAGGAGCTGATGGGGGCGCCCTGACACAGAAACACCGGTCCTGGGGAACCGGGGCCACGGGGACTCACCCTGCGGGCCCAGTTGACAAGGTCGTCCAGCTTGGTCACCACGTACTCGCCGCGGCTGCTGGGAAGCGCACTGGGCTTGGGGACCACAGCCCCAGCCTTCGGCACGGCGGGCTGCGTGCTGGGTGCGGGAACACAGGTCACGGGGGTCAGCTGGGCCGGGACCCCATGGCCCACAGTGGCCTCTTGGGGCCGAGAACATGCCGATGGGCAAAGGCAGAGAGCGGCCGGCCGTGCTCTGGGCAGTGACCAGCACGAGCGTCCCCTTGCTGGGCAGAGCACCCGGGGACACCACTGGCCGGCGCACGGCTGCACTGTAGGGCCTGTGACCTCCCGGGCGCCACCTCACCTGCTCGGGCTATCGGTGGCCGCGCTCTGGTGGACGGCTCGTGTCTGCACGGCTGTGGCCACGCCGGCCCTGAGGGACACACTGCAGGTCAGCAGCCATCCAGGCCCCACTGGGTCTCGTGACTCCGCTGCCTCTGGCCCCTCACGTGCTCTCAGGATGGCCGCCGGCCTTGACTCTGACCCGCCCCCGGGGCTGCCCAGGCTGGGGGGGCTGCTCCTCCTGCACACCCAGCACCCCACAGGCCAAGCTACGGGCACGCCCGCAGACCCGTGGAGACCCAGAGGCCTCACAGCCAGCCCCAGGAGGGCTGAGGACAGACTGGACAGGGTCAGGCCCGGCTGGCCAGCCCAGCGCAGCCCAGCCCAGCCCAGCCCAGCCCAGCCCAGCGCAGGGCCCTTCCAGAAGTGCCTTTCACTGCTCCCGGGCCCAGTGCTGCTGCAGAGCCCTGTGGGTGGCCAGGGTGCACGCGCACTCACCGCAGGGCGGGGGTCCGGAGGCAGAACAGACCGGGAGCTGCGGAGAAGCACAGGGGTGTGAGCAGTGAGCTCGCCCAGCTTGCTCGGACCCGGGTCTTCAGAACACGAGTGTCACGGCCCTGCCTAAAACCCGGGGGCCCTGGAAGGAGACCCCAACGCCCCCAGGACGGCCGCCTCCCAGGTGCGCTCCTCCTCAGGGCCTAGCGCCTGCTGTTCCCCAGGCAGGAGGCAGCCTGGATAGCGAGGTGCACCGGTCTAAGCAGGAATTCGGGTCCAGGCACTGCGTCCACCGCCACCACTGCGTCAGTGTAGGTGGCGCCCATGTCTAACACCCAGGCTGCACCCGAGTGGGTGCTGTCTGACTGCAGGACTGGAGCTGGGGCATGGGGATTGGGGTCCCCTGAGCACATTCTGTCCTGCAGGGTCTGCAGGCTGGTGGCATTGTGAGCCCTGCCCACATCACCCTCCACCCTCCTCACAGGGTGCCCAAGGAGCCAACCACGCGGGAAGTGCAGGGCGGGCAATCGCTCTCCTCCTGCAGGGAGGGCTCCAGCTTGCATGGGGACCTGCACTGGGAGGCTCAGAGGCCCGGTCACCCCCAGGTGGGAGGGAAAGCCGAGCCTGCGCCCCCAAACCACTCGGGAGACAGGAGGGACCAGCAGGTGGCGTGGTGTTTACGGCGCAGGGCCAGTCAGTCCCAGACCTGGCAGCGGAGTGCGTGCCCAACGTCCCAGAGGAGACAGAGAGGGCACCGCGGAGGGCCACTGCGGCCGGAGATTCTTGTGTCTCTGGCAAGGGTGCACGCGCTCCGGGCTGGCCTCCCCAGAGCTCACACGCTGAAATGGGTGCTGTCTCTGTGCCCACTGGAGAACCGTGCTGCTCTGCGTGCCCACGGAGGGAGAAGCCGGATGGAGTCCTGGGCTTTCCCTGACTAGCTGAGCACAGGCTGGGCTGGGCTCTACCGCAGCTCAGACCCCCTTCGGGGTGCTGCTCCCTCTGGTGGCTCTCAAGAAGGATAAGGCAACTTTAAACCGTTAGAAACCAAGTGGGGCCAGCATGCATGGTGGTCACTGGCTGGACTCGAGTCCCAGACCCGGGAGACTGAAAACCGCGCCCAGAATCCGGAGGTCCGCGGGTCAGGGACGGCCGCGTCGCCGGCGCCCGGGCCGCTCC